TAAACAACCGTGATTACTCGAATACTGTTCTAAAATTCCGAAATAAACAATCGAGATTATTCGGATATTTTCTAGTATTACGAAGTAAACAATCGAGACTATTCGATTATGATTCTAATATTACGAAATAAACAATCGAGATTATCGCATATTTTTCTATGAAATAAGCAATTGAGATTATTTGATTATTATTTTCTAAGGTTATAAAGAGATTTAATGTGGTTCGTTACGTATTTTGATGTGTTAGATCGTGCGGCAGGGATCAGTTTACTATCCCCTGCCGGATATTATGGGACAAGAACCCGCAGAACAGTCACGGAAATCGATGTTCTACTTTTAAACTAGTAGGATCTAGTAACATCAAAGTATCATAAGATGTCGACATTAATCGTAACAATTTCACTCAGAGTTTCTTAATAAAACAATTATACATATACAATATATATTTCTCAAACATGGTATAGCCATCCAAAATATACTTACAAAAGGGTCGCAATGTATTTAATGTGCTGGTGAGTAAGAGAAAATAAGTTTCTTTTAACCGTTGTTGCATTTCTTGTATAAATAATAAAAATAGAAATTACTTCCACTTTTTAGCGCGTCTCGAAGTTGGTCCACCTTTTTTTTCCAAAAAAAAACTTTTTTATTCACTGTACTTTAGACATTACGCCATCAATTTCTCAAATGCCTCTTAAATGTCACAATTTACACGGAAAACTTCATTCTGACTTTTTTCCCCGATAAAATCACCTCACTTAATGGCTCCGTTGAGTTTCCCGTGTCAATTGTGGATCGAAGAAGTTTATCTGATCGACGCTGACGATTTCACGGATCGAAATCACACACACATACATAAACACGATGTCTACTCGATGATATTCGAGAACCGAACACGAAGATCTGGCAAAGTCACCTGAAGAAACGCTAGACGGAGGCAATATTCCCGCGTGCCCGCAGAATGCTAACACCCACGAGAACTGCTTCGAAACCGGTAGAATCCAGTTGGTTAAAACGATTTATAATCCCGAAGTAAACTCATACAGAGCGCATTAATTACATCGATCGGTCTGAAAACATTTTCTAAAGCTGTCTCTGAATTCAAATCTGCCGATTAAGAAACCAGTTTCAGGCTCCAATTCCACCGCGGTTTCCCTCGGTCGCCGTCACCAGTCGCCACCATTCTTCTGTTTCTTTTTTTCATTTTTTTTTTCTTCCTCATCGTGGCAACGGAACCGTTCCGTCTGTAACATTTCGCCGCGATGGTGACGCGCGCGGGGCGTTCGGCTCAATTTCGTGCTATGACGCAACTGATTTGCTATTCGAGCCTAGTTCTCCCGTTGCCTCCGCGTTACGCAGGAGTAGCCAGTAGGACGTTCGAAACGAGAAAATTCAATCTCCCCCGTAACAGCGCGGCTTGTGAATTTATTAAACTAATAATGTAATAGTAATAAAACAAATAGTAAATTTATTTTAAAAACAAAGAAGTTCAATTAGAGGTGTACGTATTAATCTTGGAGCAGTCATTCAGTTATTAAAAAAAACCTTCAACTCCTAAACAGTAACATTTATAAGCTTGTACAGTAAATCTCCGATGTGTGCTCGTAGACTCCTCGGTACTGAACATGTGCTAAACCTCGTTAAAAAGTCAGGGTTACATCTGGGGATCTCTCCTTGTCAGTGCCGAGGTGCCTTCGAACACTCACCGAGGATTTACTGTAAACAGAGTTGCACAAAATGCAATCTAATTAAAAAATCAAAATCACAATTACAATGTGATTGCAATGTAATTGCAAGACAATTACAAGGACAGTAGTATCCTCAACACGTTGAATACCGTGGAGGTCACCGGTAACCTCCACTCTAGGGAGTATACTTTTCGATATTACTAATATTGGACCATAAATCGGTAAATTTCTACAAACTAAATGCCAAAAGTACGATAACATAGTTGACATTAATAATTTTATATAACATTTTATTCTTCTACACTCTGTGTAACAAAAATTTCACTTTGACGCTGTAACTTAAATGTATGAAAATCCTGCGGCATTCAACGTGTTAATTCAAATAATACAGGAAATGGTCTTCGTCCGAAAACATTTGTCCCATATTGTATGTATCCGAAACGTCGAATAACGCGTTCATCGAAGAAGAAGTCACAGGAAGCTTAAATCTGCCAGCCTTAAGTACCGCGATAAGTCGCGCAGCCGTGTGTCGAATCAAAGTCGCGGCTCGATCATGAATCCCCAGCGAGCTAGACAGATGCCAGCGGAAAGCGTGTTCGCGGAAGCAGTTATCCTCCAGTTGGGTGGAACTCACTGAACGACTCCGACGTTGGTGGACGCCACAGACGAGACGTCACGCCGGGAACATTTCTGAGATTACGGCGACTACGTCGTCGCTGACGACAATGTCCACTTACGCGAAGACACTCACACGCTACCGCTCATAAAGGTGAATTTATACGGTTCACTTTGGTTGAAATTCAATTCAGTCGATTCAACAAAGTTGGAAGAAAAATGAACAGTGTAAGTTACCATTTGGTTGACAGGGGTGATTGAATGGTAATTTACACAGCGTTCACTTTGCTTTCAATTTTGTTCAGCCAATGTGAACCGTGCAAATTCGCCTTAAGGATCCGAATACCTAGCAGTTTCAGACACACAATAAACCAACGATATTACCTTACTGTTTTCTCAGTGAATTAAATTTCCATAAAGGTGAATTTACATGATTCACTTTGGTTGAAATTCAAACGTTTGATTTCCCAGTGTAAGTGTACGATGGACTTATGAACGGAAATATGTACGCGCGCATACACACGCGAGTCGCGTAAACGCGGTGCCCAGCGACGGGATTAATTAAGTCCAATATGTATTCATGAATACCAATCCGTTTGATGCGAAAGATTCGTTTCGTTAAACTCGATTAATACTCGTGAAAACGAACGGTTCAATCTTTGTATCTACTAAACACTTGGCATCATTCAGCTGATTAACGCTAATAATGTACTTCGAACTCGACTCATCTCTTTCGCAAAGAGCGTTTGAACCTTGTCGATTGTACAATGTGCGAGTGAACGCTTAACAGTAGAACTATACATTCATACATATACTATAAAATATAGTAATATACAGAATCTACAGTACAATTTAGCATAATATAATATAATCGTAAAATGTACAGAAAATTAAAAATCACTATAAAGTCCACGGAAATCATTATAATTTCAGTAATGGTAAAATATTAAATCTGTAATCCAATATTTATTTTAGTATAATTGTACCTATGTACAGAAATTTTCGATGCATATGATCCGAAATGAAACATTCAGGTGTAAAAGGCACCCAAAAGTTACACGTCTGAAAGGCATTTACTGAGATTTATAATGGACATAACATCCGATAAACGAGAATCATTGCGCCGGCTGTCAATTAAATACTAATATGTGAAAGTAGGCAGAGTCTAAAAATAGTAGCTATGATCCAACACGGAAACTTAATATAGAACTTCAACGTAGTATCACTTTTCTTTACTAAAGATATTTTACCGTTCGCCACAACTTTCAACGTGTCTGAATCAAAAATTAACCACAACACATTCTTACCAAAAGTAATCGAAAATCTAATATTCGGAATCCAATTGCTGTAACGATCTAATTAGCACGGTTTCTATAATATTTTCTAAAAGACGGGGCAATTTGTTAAATGATCCCTCTCCGTTAGCAATGCTAGAGTCAACACTTTTCTAACCGATATCCTATTAATATAGGTTTCGTGATTTCAGTGCCTATCGATAAGAAATATATTTAATTCACCATTTAAATCAAGACTGAAGAAAAAGCTGTCACATTACATTATGAGGGCTGTGACTACGTTTCACGATTATAATTAAATTTTGCGATGGAACTGTTCATTACCAATTCCTGGTCGTTGATCGTCGAGTATAACTTTTTAATTTGAATGTTTATTTCACTGTCACAATCTAGTGCAGAATTTTCTAGGCTATGGCGTTCGAGTACCATCAAACTACAGTAACCAGTACATTATTTCCCAAAATGGTGTATCGAAAAAGTACCACTTAGTCGGTTCTTAAAAGTATTCCAAAATCGTCGTTACAGGATTATTCATCTCTAAGACTAGTGTAACGTTAAACTCAGTTTTCTCAGTTTTAGAAACCAGTGGACATAGAACACTTAAAAATTAGAGCGACGAAATGTAGTTAGCGGATGAAAAAACAAATTTTTTAAAAATTGACCATTTTTTAGCCATCCTAGGCTAACATTGTGAGTTAAGGACTAGTTTTGGTATGCGCAGAATAAGCGTACCAAATTTCAAACCAATCGGTTCAGCCATCTCTGAGATCTTTTTGGAACGCGTTATCAAAGTACAATTTGTGAAAAACTGTGATTAATGTTGCATTTAACTTTTTTTTCTTTAATTTCAAGTTAGATTTGTAAGCGAAACCTAACCTACACGTCACTGTAAATGCACATTAAGTGAAAGAACGTAGGCTGTAAACAGTAAAACAGAGGTTTAATTGTCTATTTTCAAAGCATTATACTGATCAGGGTTGGTTAGAGCTACTTTAATTAAAAAAAACGGATACTAATAATAGTCTATAATTTGATAAATAAAAGTACTTATAATTGTTTGCGACATTTTTTAAACTGATATTTTGATTGATTTTTAGAGAGCCCCTTTCAACATACTAAAGTTTGAAGAAAAGTGGTGATCCCTTTCGAATTGAAAACTATTATCGGTAGGGATATTTTCCCATACAACTATGCTTCAAACAGTGAAGATATGCCCGAAAGTGTTCGAAGATCTAGAGAGAGAGAGAAAAAAAGGAGGTCGTTTATACTATCCTCGTTGTCAACGCGATGACACGCAGAGAGCCGGACCGGGATAGAGACCCAGAGCAATGTACAGTATACATAGGGGGAGGGAGGGGGTTAGGGGACCATAGAGAAACCGAACAGAGAGACTATAATGACTTACTGTGCGCGGTAAAGGTCATGATGACGTCGCTCTGGTCGATGGCCCTGAGATCCTGACCGGTGAGATCGAACTCGCCGGCCCTACGTTGCTCGCCGCCGATCGGCTTCTCGTCTTCGTCCTCGCCCAACGCGTTCTTGTATATGTCCAGAAGGAACTTGGGCGCCGACCTCTTGACCTGCGGTGGCCTGCCGGCTGTGCTCCTCGGCCGATCCGGCAGACCGAGCAGATTCAATATCTCGTGCTCGACCTCGCGTTTCTCCCGTTGGCTGACCACCCGATGGACAACGGTCTGATCGAACCCGTTGTCGACGTACAGTCCACTCATACGGTCCGCGGCGGCGGTGCTCGTCAACCCGGCGAGGATCGTGCCAAGGATCAGCAGGGGCGCGAGACGGCGCGGCGACATCTCGCCACCGCCGCGTCTTTCCGCCTGTGCGCGGGACCTACGGCCGGTCGAACCGACCACCATTCCTCTGTTCCACGACCACGCCGTTTTTTCCACCACCACCTCCACCAGCACCACCTTCCCCTACGCCACCGTCGCCTCCTCCTCCTCCTGCGTCGGTGCTCGCACCACCACGACGACGACGTCGTCGTCGTCGTCGTCGTCCCCTAGTCGAGCCACCAAAAACGTGGACGGAAGACCACCGAGCGCGGAGAACCGCGCGCGCGCGCGCGCGCGCCTCGACTCGGCGATCGAGCCCCTGGAACGGTTAAAATCGATCCGATCGATCCTTTGGCACACGACGAGAAACAGGTAGATACTCGGATAGTATCACGAGTGCACCCACCACAAACACGAACCTGTAACGCACTTGAATGAATTACCTCCTGCTATTACTCTAAATCCCTCCCGGCACTTGATACCTTCGTCTCTCCAAACAGGGTCTTAGTTGAATCGATCACACATTTAAAAGATACAAGTCCCGTATCTTGGCCACCCGTCTGTCCCCTCCCCCTCCCTGTTAGTATTGGTAAATATTTCTTCACAAAACACACCCACGATGATTCCTTCTTCCTGTCCTCCAGTGTTCACCACACGCGCGCACATACACACACACACACGGCGTTCGTGCGGTCCACCTTCGACCTTTCCTTTTTTTTTTTCACACGATTCCGAACTAATTTTCGTCACTATGCTACCGATTTGTAGGTACACCAGGTCTCTGTTCGCGATGCAGTTCACACCGGATCTTTACGGGGCACCATGCTCGCGGGCACTTTCCTCGATTACGGAACGGATTTAAAAACGAAAAGAAAAAAAAGTAACGAAATAATAGGATCCACACGCCGCGCACGTTCACCAAAACAAAAAAAAACAAACAAACGCGCACGGGTGGCTCTCTCGAGACCGTTCTCGGTGAGCACCGGTGACCACTGCCGCCGACTCCCGCGATGCCAGTGCCAGTCTGTTTGTCTGGCCCGTGCACCTCCTCGTCGCCGCCGCTCTGCTCCTCCGCCGAGGCCTCACCACACCGCCTCCCAGGGCCGTACCGCTCCTCCGGCAGAGCCACGCCTCGCCTTCCTTCGCCTTCCTTACGGCCCGTGGAACTGGCTCGCGGTTCCACTCGTTTCGCCTCGCCTCGCTTTGCTTCGCCTCGCCTCGCCTCGCCTCTCGGCCTCACCTCGCTTCGTCACAACTCGCCTCACCGCGCCGCGCTTCGTCTTGCTTTGCCACGCCGGTAGCCACGCGTACATACTAATGTACTTATTAGAATTGTAAGTATTCGGATACACGATGTATTCGAATAATTTCGAATAATTTCGAACACGAATAATGTATTCGAAAAATTCTAACAGTATGAAGAATTTGAATACTTCGAATAGTATGGAGTATTCGAATAACTCGAATAGTACGAAGTATTCGAATAATTCGAATAGTACGGAGTATTCGAGTATGCCAATATTTGAGTAGTATAAGAATTCCGAAGATTCAGATTGAACGTTTGAAAAACAAATAATTGTAAAGGCCAATGTGAAAAAAATTTCACGATAAAGTGTGAAAAAATATATTATGTTCAGATTCCTATTCAGTGCAATTGAAATTCAATCGCTTCGAATACTCGAAATAGTCCGAATACTTCGAATATTTCGAATAATTTGAAAACTTCAAATACTTCGAATATACGAATATCAAATTCAAATTCTACTGCTATTGGAATATTCACGTATTCGAATAATTCGAATACTCGTAACAGATATAGTACCTATCTTTAACCTCTTCTCCTCCACGTTCGTGTCTTTCCTATTCTACCAACACTCGCTACCCTCTTCCGTCACGATAGACTTCGATCGATAGAAATTTGGATTTGAATGTGATCTTGGAAGATTTCTGTGGGTGTGAGACTCTCCTGTTTATCGGAATAGACGTTTGAAGTGAGTTGGTAGCTAGCTGGATTATAGTTGATACCCATCAGATCTAAAACATACTCAGCTGTCGTGGCGCAACGGGGAGTCTTAGTTGATATCCTGAGAGGATTCTCTTTTAATTGGAACAGTCGTTGGTTATGGATTGATAGGTTCAATATTGGATGAAGATGGAATCTGTACACATTTTTAGATCTAACAAAAGGTAGACCACGGGGGGGAGGCTTTAAGTGAAATCATCAGTGGGCTTCCTTAATTGGAGCAAACGTTGGAGACCTTTCAATTTGACTAAAAACACGAAAGATGTTGAAAATTATAAATGATCTTTATTAAATGGCCAGTGAGCTGTAGATTGATTGGTTTAATAGCCAATGGGGATGGAATCCGGACTCATTTCTAGGCGCGAAAAAAGTGAAACACTGGGGTAGCTTATTTGGAATCCTGGGAGGATTTACTTTATTGGAGTAAACTTTGGGAGTAGATTAATTATTTACACAACATCTGACTGGTGTGAAATCTACACTCATCCTCATATGGAAAAAAGAAAGGTAAAACCGTGGGATATTCTATTTGACATTCCGTGATCGCTGTTTTTATTGAAGTAGTCTGGCAAAATATACGTTCAGAAGTAGTAGAACGCTAGAAAGAATTAGGATTTAAATTCCTCGGATGATGTTTTTAGTAGGGTCGGTCGACTGTCAATTTCTTCGATACTTGTCGAAGATGAAATTTATACTCATAGACAAATGGTAAAAAAGAGGAGAAACCGTTGGAAATCTTATTTGAAATCTTGACATGATTTCGTTGGGTAAAGTACACTTTAATTCCAATCGTGCAATCTGTCAAAATGATTGACAGCGATGACATATACACTCAGGTCTAAAAATGAGCGGAAAAATAGGAAGTTTTATTTAACATAGTAATTGACTGACTAACATTATCAAGCACAACGATGTCTAAACATGATCAATTTGTAGCGGACATCGTGCACACGAAACAATCATCATTCTCCTGGCACTTCGTTTCGACGGTTATTAAGTAACTGGACGAGGCTGAACAAACGCGCGTACCACGCGCGGATTAAATCAGAAACGGGGAAAGTGTTCGATCGTTCCTGCAAATACCAATATAATCTACAGGGTGATTCAGGAAATTGGGACAAGCGATTTCGGCGTATTTTCGAGCAGCCTGAAACGGACATAATAAACATAAATTTTATATAGTTCAGTGAACTGTATATTTTTCTGCGGTAATTTACGATATACAGGACGATTCAAAAACTGTAACAAATTGCAATGCGAATGCATGTTAATCCACGAGGTCTGCCTAGGTAACAGCCCTATTCAACACCCAAAAATAGAATGAACAGTTTGGCCTAAATTTTCTAGAATCACCCTAGTGCGTTCGACCCTGGCAGATTTACACCAAGAAAAACATTGCATGGAATTAGCAACGGGTAGATGGTTATGATAAAGAGAGCTGCGAAAATGAAGGATCGCCTCGTGCACGGAGTGAAACGGGGTACGCTCACACGATTAGATTGTTCAACAAGTGTGCAAGGTGTTGCGTACAACGCGCTTGTCGTTACACGCCTAATGCGGCATTCGCGGAATGTTGCATGTAACACCACCGTGTGTTTGCAAGGTTCCGAAGAGGTTCGCGAACGTGTACATTACAATGTAACGCGGGTTACGTAATGGAAACGCACGCGCTAGCGTTTGGATATACACGGGTATAACGGGTAGAACTCGCTTAGCACTAGGGATAAACCGATACCGTCAAGGTATCGATACTTTTACTCATAATTTGTATCGAAAAAAAGTATCGATATCTACTTAGTATCGCATAAAAAGTATCGCTACCTATTTGTATTGAAGGAAAACGAATACAAAATTCTTTTTTGTTAATATAATATATTTTAACCAGAGTTGAGTAGAATTTTATTCGAATAACACATAGTGACAAACTGCAGTATCCAAGGGTGTGATCCTGAGCTTTAAACAGTTAGTGCGATTAAATCAATTGTTTGGCAAATATCGACTCATTCAGAAAGAAGTATTACTTTGTTATAAAAATTGGAATTTCCACGTTGAATGGATTCAAAATAACCAAGTACTTTTATTTATCGTCTGGTACCGCAGATGGTGTTTTGATGATACCTTTTCTAATTAAATGGTAGCCGTTTTTTGTCTATTGATAGATCTATACTTCAATTTCTCAAAAGTTACTAAGGAGATAACATATAATAAGTTATGTATATGTTGAATGTTTAATAAATAATAATTCTGCATATACAAAAAGATTTTGTAATTTTCCCTCTTATTTAACAGATCAAAGGTATGTAACCCCTTTAAAGGAAAAATAAAACCGATAATTTGAAAAGTCGGCGTAACAAACGGGACACATTCATTTGGCGACACCACCCGATGTCGTTTGACGGCGGTAAGAGGACGAATCGCTTGCTTTCACCGCGGTAAATAAATTTCTTCGGTTCTCTTAAGACAGGCTTACAACTTTCGGAAGTGTAACGGCCGCTTTAAAAAAAGAAAAAAAAAGAAACAGAAAAAAAGAACATTCCACGCGTAAACCGTTCGAACGGATTTACTCGAGAAGATGGGGTCACTTGTCGAACGTAACGTTCGTTATATGTTTTCGCTTTTCCTCGTTCAACTTTACGATCACCGTGGCACGGCAATAAAATCTCAAAAGGAAACTTTCCATCCGGGTGCAGAAAAAAGAAATTATTGTACATTATTAAATGAACACGAACGTATCGACGAACGTCGATTCATTAAGGTGTCCGAACATTAACCCCTTGCCTTACAACAGCGAGTCAGACACGTGACAACGATTTCAAAGTGAATTTAATGAACATATATATTATTAGTTTTCTTTGGGTCGACGTGAAATACTGTTTCGCTGATATTAACATTTATGGTTTAGAATACATGTAACATTTGACATAAGACTAGAATTCCTTTTGTGTCTGGGAAAATATTAACGATAAAGTAATTCTTGAGAGTGAAGTCGTAAAAGAAATCGTATGGCAAAGGGTTAACTGTGAACTCCGTT